TTTTTCTTAGGGCGAAAGGTTTCTCGGCGTCTCATAGTCGGTGAATTTAGATAAATTTCTCGACTCGTTTGACATTTTTTGTATAGGGGAAATATAGGTTACGAGTGGATATAGGTTTTGAAGACATGAGATTTTCGGAGTGTAATAACCATTATTTACCAGCTCGTACGGTATTTGGCTGGAGGAAAACGAGAACGGACAGGTTCGTACTATATATTTCTGATGTCGATGACGTCGAATTCGGAGTTATACGAAGCTTTTATTCTAAGACAAACACTCGGATTGAAAAAATTTTCTAGATGTAAACTCTAGATTTTTCTAACATTTGGAGTTATACACTAGCGAGGTTATGTTCCTTAATTCTATGGTAAACAAACGAAAAATATTTAAAAAATGATTAGATATTTCTAGCTTGGAATTATGTGGCTAAAATTGGTTTTAAATCGGAGGGAAAGGAAGTAAAATGAACAAAGAATTTATGTTACAAAAATTAGATTTATTGTTATATCATTATACAAATTATACCATAATAGTGTTTCTTTAATGTTTAATTGTTCTTAAAAGTACAAGTTTGTATATGACAGCACGTTACATGTGATTTTTCACATTTCTTTTTTCCATGAAGAAAGATTTTACGAAATAATTGTATGAGCTTATCATTATCTTCGTAATCTTCGCTGAATATTTTGAGAAATTGTTTAGGCTTATAATCGCGAGACAAATAATAAAGAAATACGCAGCAATATTGTCCACAGGTCTGAGAAAATGTGCCCTGTAATCGCGTGATGTTCCATTTATGAGTAGTAGAGTTTCGTCGAAGTCGTAGATTGAATCTGGAATCCAGGGGTGGTAGTCCGTAGCTATCGAAATACGTGCCTTCTCCGTGCTTGTCTAGGTAGAAAGCAACCCAGTGTTGTCCAGGACGATCGTGATTATCAGTGTTCGCGACAATGGCCGTCGACTTCGTCCACATCCTCGGGATTCTGTCGGCAGGATATACACCCGCATGTTCGATACTGAGATGATGCAACGCTCGTAAGATTTCGAGCGAATTCATCTTCCGCGGTGTGATGTTTGACTTGTTTTTTGGCTCGTCGGTGTCGTTATATTTTTATCCTCTTGCAAGGATTGTAGGGTAGAAGTTCCTTTTTTTCACACTTGAGTTTCGATAGATCTTCTTTCTCGGCTTTTATTTGTTCGCACTTCACCTGTTCTTTTTCTAATCTCTTATTTCTCCACGTAACGAGATTCGGAAAATTTCGTTTTATTGTAAAAACCTCGCTTTCTGTATCACTGTCATCGGAACTTTCAATGGTAAAAGAATTAGCGCTGCTTATGTAGCAGTTCCCTTCTTGAGATTGCATCCAGTATCTCAATTTGCATGCGTTGCATAACGCGCAATGAAATTTGTCGGAATTTCGCTGAAACCCGCGATGACCGCAGCGCAATTCATGCTCTTCGCCTTCCGACAGGTTTTTGAAAACTGGAGAGATTCCTTCTAGATTGTATACGTTTCTTGCGAGTATTTGTATTTTCCAAATAATGTATCTTCTCTCGACCTCGAGTGTATATGTATATGTAACGCGCTTGCCGTGCAATTTCACATAGCTCCGCCATGAAATGTTTGGAATTGACTGTTCCGTCAAACCACTCGATCCCATGGAAGTTTCGAGAGAGCCAGTTGTTTTCTCGTCTGTATTTTTTGGGTAATTCGACAAATGAATATGGAGGCATCATAATGCAGTGACTTATGAATGCTTCGTTAATGGCGACAACCGCTACTTCCTTCGGCATAAACTTTCCCTCAGCGTCGCGGAAACCTTGTATATCGATAACTATATCCATGATGCGTAGAATATACTTTCAATTTATTTTGCACGAAGTGACGACGTTCGCGTCTAAAGCAAAACTGCGGCTACTTTTGTTAAGCTTTCGAAGAAATAGAAATGAAAATAGATAACGGTGGGAGGGGGAAATTCGAGTATGCCTCATCCGCTAAAATCAACGATAATTTGACGCGAGGAATCGATCTCTAACACGTTATCGAATTCTGCGTAAACGATACAATTAATCGTTGAGGTAATAGCTTTTTCAAATCGCACCTCTAATCGTAAACTTCCATGTCTGACAAGATTCCAGCGCAATTTGCCGATAGATCGGGAGTGAGATCGAAAGCGAAAAGCGTGAAACCTTTGGCATAATCTTCTCTGCTTATAGAATTCCCCTCGTTTAGAAAATGGATGCCTGTTCCTGAGAAGAGGATGTTATAAGCCTCGACATAGAGCGGATGGTCTTTTGAGAAATTCGGTTGCAGCGGTCTACTCGAAATTTGCATGCCATCGGCATATAGCGAGAAGAAATTTATGCCGTAATTTTTGAAATTAAATGGATTTAACTTTCTGTCGCCGTTAAACGCTTTGTTATCGACAAATCCGACTATTACTCGTTTCAGAAGTTGCCCGAGTATCGCGTTATCAATCGATTCTCCTACCACTCCGGCGTGAATCGTGAATGTTTTAACTTCGACTCGCGTCAGAGGATACTTGGCGGTTGTTTTACTCAGCATTCTCGCATGTTCGAGTAACACTGCGGGGCTTATTTTTGCTCTTCTTATGAGTAAACTAGTATCTAGAATGCGTATTTTCGACGTTGAGTTGCTTTCCATGAGGCAAAACGCATCTCTCGAGCGAACGAGTCTCATTCTAACCTCCACTCCGTTAATTAAAAATTTATCCTGATTAAACACGTCGCAATGAAGATGACCTATTAGATCTACCGAACGTTCTCCTTGGATGTATCGGGCGCGTCTCACGAGAGCTTGATTGGGGTTGTCCGATTCTAATAGCGCGTCCATATAACCGGGTTCGTCCCATAGACAGGAAGTCAGATGGTAAGTTTTTGCCGGTGAAGAATAATTTAACAATGCTTCGATGTACGCGCGGTACGCGTAGGCGTTGTTTGGGGATGATACGAGTTTTTGATTGAAGTACACGTCGATCTGGTTGAACATCGAATGTAGTAGATGATTCACAGGGCCTACTTTGTTTCCTCCTGCTTCTCCTCCTCCTGCTGTCGATGTTCCAGGACCGGGTAAACTTTCCACTCGCACGCGAAGGCTTAGCATGGTATGCGTGAGATCTAGATAATCTTCTCCGTGCCCGGGTACGACGAATTCTATAGGCGCGTCGTCCGCGAGCGAGGTCACCGGTTTGTAATAAACCCATTGCGAATTCTCGATACTGGTTTGAGTAGGAGGTAAACTGAAAAGATCGAGCTCGCTCTTTAAACACTCGCTCGAGTGGGTATGAAGAAAGGACATATCTCACAAATTTACAAAGTGCGTCGGTTAAGCGAATATATCGGTGCGCTTTTTCCCGCTATTTCGTCGATGTTTCGTTGCCTTTTTAATTTTGCCCGCTTTCCTCTTCGATGATTTTTTTTTAATCGTTTTTTTCACGCCAATTTTCGATGATTTCTTTTTTTACCGGCTTGTCTGCGTTTACGAACCGCGCTTCTCCCGGATTTAGCGGTGCGTGCGTCGTGCCCTCCGAAGGGAAACTGACTCGGTCGTATTTTCGTGGATGTTTTATATCCCGAGCCTTTCATCAAGTTACTTATATTTTCTTTGGCTTTTCTCTTAAGATTTCCGCCCGATTCCTTGAGCCGCGTTTTGACTGCTTCCCTGAACGGAGTGTTGTTTTCAACATCCTCCATCACGCCAATTCCGGCGCGTAAAGCTTCTTTCCCGACGGCGCGCATTCCCCTGCTTAAATAAGGAAGTACTCTTCTAAATAATCCTCTGAGGAAACTACCGATCCCATGACCGTGCTGATAGGCTGAACCGACGAAAATTCATGGAATTCCGCCTCCCCTGCCCTCGCCGTTTTGCATTTGCGTAATACTCGTCGTATTCCATGGAGACTTAGTTTTTTCTCAAAGCTTCGTAGACTTTCCACCGCGAATGGCAATTAACGGACGCGTCTAAAGTGTCATGTTGCTATCAGCGTTCCGGATACGAATGGTATTTTTTCTCCACGGTGATCTTTTATATCTATTTCAATTTTATGGAATTTCGCAAAGGAATATATTGCAAAGTGGAGAAATATTTTACTAAATTCGTTCCGTACGTGTAATTACATCCGGGTATTTCGTTTGGAACGATCTGAAGAAGGACTCCGCGTATCGCCGGTTATGTAAGGTTCGCAAATGTCGCAATAAACATACATTTTATCAGGGGTACCGTGCCATAGACTACAGGGTTCTGCAGCCCAGAAAGCTACAGTGCGTCCCACACCGATGTAATAACCGAGTTTCAAAAACGTCGTTAATTCATCGGAATTAGGTAACTTGTGACGGTGAATTGTGCCGCCATCATCGACGTTGATCTTCAATATTTGAAAAATATTAGCTGGTAGATTTATATAATGAACGAGAGTACAGTTGTCGTCACAATCGATGCTTATACGGACATTACCACCTGAACCTTTTCGTAGTTCGAAAGTAAAATGCGAATCGCTGCGTCTGCACTCTTTATTAATCGCGTAGATAAGATCCTCTGTATTTTCATAAACCCCCGTCTGTAAGTGCAATTCTTTCACCGTAAACTTATCATCATTTTCCTCATCTTTTTCGCTCTTCAAATCAACAAATCTAATCTTATTATCGTTTCGACGTACGAAAAAGACTGGAGGGAATTGAATCTCGCTAAGCGCGACTTCCCATTCCCCGAATAAATGTACGCCGTGAGGTAATTGCGTGATGAAAGAAGAGCATGTATTTCCCGGGAAATACTTCTTACTGCTACCGCTCGGAAGAACCATAAAAAATTGCTCCTCCTCCATCCTGGAGATAAATTAAATTCGAAGCGGGAATCCAACTATCGAATTTACTGGGATATCCTTGCCAGCTAACTAGCAGCTGTTTATTAGCACCGCGTCCTCTGCTTTTTATCACGCGCTCGACGATAAACTCTTCCTCCCTCAAATTTTTTCTGACCCGTGCTAATTCTTGTTCATAAAAAATCCCATCGATGTGTTCACCCGATAAGTCGCACAATTCGTACACGCGGGGTCTTCGCCAATGAAGAACGCGACAAACTCGAAATATTCCTCGCTCCACCGCGCTTCGTATCCTTTCTCGAAAGTGGCTTTTGCTCTACTGACGCGAACAAGATCGTTAACATCGAATTTAGCCTTTTGTTCTACTACTTTCGACGCCGCCTTCTCTCCAGCGCCTCTACGCCGCTCCATATTTTCGCGTGCGATGCAAACATTTTCTCTCGTAACGATCGCCGGTTGCATCCTGATGGACGAATGACGAGTGTGATTGTAAGCGCGCACGATATCTTGCAGCACTTCGATGTAACGCCGCGTATTTTTATGTGTAAAATAGCGCCACATTCGCTCCTTTAACGTTCTAGTGAAGCGTTCAACGACGGCGGCTTTGACCGCCGGATTGCGAGTTACTCGATAACGTATGCCTCTTTCTTTTAAAAAATCTTGCATCGGTCGCGCAATAAATTCTTTACCCTTGTCGGTTTGCAAGTACACGGGTACTCGACCATCGCTTCTCGAGAGAATATTTTGGAAGGCGCTTGTCACGCAATTGCTCGTTTTATCCCGCAGCGGTTCTACCCAGACAAATTTACTAAGTACGTCGATAATCACGAGAAGATAAGAAAATCCGTCATTGTAACTTTTGAGATTACAGAGTTCGATCAAATCATCCTCCCACAGATCGTCGATATTCGTCACGTTGTAACGCAATCGCGGAAATTTTCGTCTCGACGGACGGTGCAGCGTGTACGCGTCTTGCGATTCGAGCCAGCAAGCTACTTCTTTACGAGAGAAATTCGGTTTAGCGGCACGCGACAAGTTATCCGATGCCGAATACCCCGCATAGTGCGCTGGATCGTAATACAAATTTTCAAGCCTGGTCATTTCAATTCACTCCAATCGAGTAAGCGTCTCTTTCTTGCCTGTCGAGAATCTTTTGCGAAGGTTATAGGGATATCGTCTTTACGAAAACGCGGCGAAAGAAACAATGCGCACCTCGCTCGCTCTTCTTCTTCGGTCTTTCGGCGTTTTTGTCCCTTTCTCGTGCGTCGTACTCTTTCCGCGTCGTCGTCGTCGACGTCGCCGGCGTTGACGTAGAAAGTTTTCTCGGTATTTTCGGAGTGGAACTCGCTTGTGGTGATGATAATATCTTGACAAATGTGGTTGCTAACAATTCCTTATTTCCTACGAGTACAGGCAGGGTGTTTGTCGTACGTAGTAATCGCGCAAACTGACCTCTTCCTATTGCTTTCACGGTTTTTCTCTCGCGCATCGCGTTTATCAGTTCCGTGATGTTCGAATCTTTTATAACGTCACCATCGATAGTCACGATTCCTTCCTCGTCCCAAGTAATTCTCGCGGGTACTGCTTTATCGATCAAATGTTTCAAAAGTAAACGCGCCTTGGCGCGAAAACTTTTCGGCACCTTTTCTAATATTTTTTCGACGCTTTGCCGTTCACGCTTACGCAGAGACTCGCCTCGTAGTATATTACTTACTTGCCCGTCAAGATGGGAAAGTTTGCTCAATGGTTGTGATTCGCGCGCTGGTTCCACCATGTCTCCCTCCTGCGCATCTGAATTGTTCTCATCGGCGGCGTTACGCGCCGAATCTTCCTTTTGCGCTTTATCAAAATGGAAATATCTCCAAAGTACTTCTTTATACAATTTCCATTTCTCACTTACATCGCGCGGAGTGGGAGAATTAAGAATTTTGCTCATATCGGAATCGAGCCGCGACAAAGGCGTTCCGGGTGTTTGTACGGAATTTAAATTTTCTCCATGTATCGTCTCCGAATTCTGCCTCATGGAATTTTCCCCGATGCCTATTTCTGTTTGCTGCTGTTGTCGGAGACGATGCTGCATTCTTTCGAGATTTTCCGTGGAAATCAAGACCATCTTTTTGCCCTTTCCATAATTAAGTTTACTCGATCTCTCTCTCTCTC